GACGGAAGGAACGAGGGCAGGCGTGGGGCGCAAGGGCACACGGGGCCAGAGAGGCGCGAAGAGGGGGGGGGGGGGGGGGGGGGGGGGGGAGGGGGCAGCGCGTCGCTAGCGGGGCCAGCAGAGCGCTAAGGGCTGGCTGGGGCGCGGAACAGCCAGCGGGGCGCTAGGGGCCATCTGGGCGCAAAAGAGGGGCTGGCGGGGCGCAAAGGCCCAGCGGGGCGCGAAGGGCCTGCGGGGCGCGAAGGGCCAGAGGGGCGCGAAGGGCGAGCGGGGCGCGAAAGGGGCTGGGCGTGAGGAGGCCAGCGGGTGCAGAGGGCCAGCATGGCACGAAGAGCCAGCGGGGCGCGAAGGGCCAGTGGGGCGCAAATGGGGCGGGCGGCGTGTGAGGAGGCCAGCGGGCGCGAAAGGGCCAGCAGGGCGTGAAATGCCAGCGGGGCACAAAAGGGGCTGGCAGCGGGTGAGGAGGCCAGCCTGGCGCGAAAAAGGGGAGGGGGGGCTGGCGGGGCACGAAGGGCCAGCGGGGCACAAAAGGGGCTGGCGGCGCGAAGAGTCAGCGGGGTGCAAAAGGTGGGGCCGGCGGGGCGCGAAGGGCCAGCGGGGCACGAAAGGGGCTGGCGGCGCTAAGGGCCAGAGGGGCACGAAAGGGGGCTGGCAGGGCGCAAGGGGCCAGCAGGGCGCGAAAGGGGCTGGCTGCGCGGAAAGGGGCCAGCGGGCGCGCAGGGCCAGCGGGGCGCTAAGGGCCCGTGGGCGCAAAGGGCCAGCGGGGTGCGAAGGGCCAGCGGGGCGCGAAGGGCCAGCGAGGCGCTAAGGGCCAGCGGGGCACTAAGGGCAAGCGGGGCATGAAGGGCCAGCAGGGCGCTAAGGGCCAGCGGGGCGCTAAGGCTCAGCAGGGCCAGCGAGGCGCTAAGGGCCAGTGGGGTGTGAAGGGCCAGCGAGGCGCTAAGGGCCAGTGGGGCGCTAAGGGCCAGCGGGGCCCTAAGGCTAGGGCTAGGGCTGAAGCTGGTGGGCGGACCTAATCAAAGCGGATACCATCTTAGAGTAACGGAATGATTAGCAACAAGGGTACTGTGTGGTTTTGACCTAATGAGCTGTACTATCTAAGGCATGCCCCTATCTAGGCTATAGTAACATATACAAATATGATTGATAGTAATCACCCGTACTGTAATATCGGGACGGTTATTTGTCCTTACTGTCGCGCTGACTCTTGACTCTTGCGATTCTGACAGTTGGGTTGCACGGTCAACGGTCTGCGACCGTTGCCCTTTCGTAACCCCTGCTGAGTGTCGTCAACCTGTGTCAACCGTCAGTGGTACTGTAGCAGTGTTGACTCGGTGATCCTCGTTGTTGCAGTCTTCGCGTATTCATACACCCACGCGAGACTCTTGAAATGTGTTAAGTTCTTTTATCATTTCCAACACCCTCCTTCATTTCTGGAGTGTCAAATGATGAGGTGTTGTAGTCCAGTCAGCAGGATGCAGTACTGGAACTTCGACTTCATCAGCTTTTTGGTCAAGTAGTCGGCTGCCATTTCAGTGGTGGGGCAGTCGACCAATTGGAGACGTCCCTGCTCGATCTCGTCCTTCACGAAAAACTAGTGAAGCGAGATGTGCTTCGTCCAATTCGCGAATACATTTTTGTTGGCCATTCTGATTGCTGATTGGTTGTCGCAGAAGAGAGAGAAGCTTGGTAACTCGGCAATCTTTGCTTCTTCGTGGAACTCGTGCATCTACAGTCCTTCCTTTATGGCTGTGCAGAGGGCGGTATATTCAGCTTCAGCAGATGAGAGAGCAATTAATTCTTGTTTTTCCGAGTGCCAGGAGATAGTGCCGATAGGCTCTAGATGGTAGATGTAGCTGGTGCACGAGCGTCTAGTATCCTTGTTGCCGGTATGGTCAGCATCAACGTAGCCGATGAGTCCCATCTTGGTAGTGGCACGTTTGTGGTAGGTCAAGCCGATCGTCATGGTCGAGATGAAGTAGTGGAGCGCGCGATTGAGTTCCTGCAGATTCCCCCCTTCAGGTCGCTTGAGGTAGGTAGCGAGCTAGCTAGTGGTGTAGGAGAGATCAGGACGACAGGTGACGGCGGCGAATAGCAGACAGCCCAGATTCTGCTGATATTCCTGGATCTCAGCTGGTGCGAGTTGTGAGGCGGTCGACGCGGGTGCTGGCGGCGCATATGTGTACGGAGTAGCGAGAGGTAGCAGGGAGAGATCAAACCGCCGAGCGATGTTCTCGGCGTACTTTGAGGTTGATAGGTGGATGGTGTCGGGGCCGTCTGTAATGTTGAGGCTGAGGTACTGCATCACGGTCGGCAACATGGTGATGGTGAGCTCAAGTTCCAGCTTGCCTTCAAAACCAGAGGGTGATGGAGGCGGTGGAGCCGACGTAGAGCAGATCGTCTACGTAGATGATCAGCAGGAAGTAGTTGCCGCTGCAGGATAAGTGATACATCCCCTGGTCATAGGGTAGTTGGGCGAAGCCCATGGCGGTGAGGATTGTGTGCAGGTACTGCTGCCATAGGCACGTGGCCTGCTTGATCCCGTAGAGGGATTTGACGAGCTGGCACACCAGCGTTGGGTTGTCGACGTACGCGTGGAGCTCCTCGACGAAAATGTCAGCATCGACCGGGACGTAGAGGAATGCGGTGGCGACACCGATCAGTTGCAGGGAAAGTTGGCGGGCAGCGGCGACGGCAAGGAGAATGTGAAGAGAAGAGTGGCAACTGACTGGAGCGAAGGTCTCGGTGTAGTCACGGGCATGCCGTTGGTCGAAGCCGCGAACCACCCAACGTGCATTGAATCGTTTGATGGTGCCATCTGCCTTTGTCTTCACTTGGAAGACCCACTTCCCGGAGAGGATTGTCTTCCCTTTTGTATGAGACATTGGAATCAACATCCAGTGTTTCTCTCGTATAGTGCCACTAATTTTCGATCCATTGCCTCCCTCCATTTTTCCCTGTGCGGTCCTTGTAGCGCTCGTTTGACTGTCTTCGGCTCCTCAACTGGCGGCGGCGAGGACTGCAGATGTACTACTTTGACGAGTCCGAGGATTTGAAGGCCAGATTTAGTGTAGCGGGAAAGTGTTGGATCCTTGGAATAGTCTACTTCATCTCCCGCTTCAGGATCAGGTATGAACCCTAGTCCAACTCTTTCTCAAACGTACGTGACCAGTGTTGGCGAAATGGTAGTATGCTTCAGCGTTCGCGCTTTTGCGAGGATTTTCTTCGTCTATCTGCATGTCGACTGAGCAGTAAGGGAGTGGTCCTGTAGCAGCTAACACGTTCGGGACATTTTGCTCTTCCAGGTCATTCTGCTCTTCCAGGTCAGCTTCTTCTTCTGTCGAGGCGAACGCGCGTGCGCCAATGAAACCACCAGAGGGGTCTTGATTGGTGGCGATGTTCTCCAGGTAATGGTTGAGGGTGAGTTTCTCGTAGAAAATCACATCACGTGCCGGTACTATTTCCTTATCTTCCACGTCGAATATTTCCCATGCCTTGTAGTGTTTTTCCACACCGAGGTGTATACCCCATCTTGCCCGCTGCAAAAATCGTCCAGCTCATGCAGTGTTTGGTTAGTACTGTACCATGTAGCCGAAAACTCATAACAATTTTGTGCTGCCCTGCTTCCCTGTCCACACCAGATCCGGTGATGCGTTGTTTGGCAGGGAGCTTGGCGACAGAAGATTCTGCAGCATGACGGCGTGATTCATCGCCTCCGGCCACTGCGAGTTGGGTAGACGCATCCCAGTCAGCAGCTTCCACATGGTGTTCTAGAGAGTTCTGTTCATCCTCTCTACTACACCATTATGTTGGTGAGCGTAGGTGTGAGAGTACGACCCCGTTCCATTCCTTTCTCCTTTCCATCTTCCCTTTCCATTCCATTCCTCTTTTTATCCTAATCCATTTGGTTTTTCTCTCATTCCATTTGGATTCCTATTTCTCCTTTTCCATATACCTTTGGTTTCTCTTGTTATTATCATTATATCACCGACCAGGCTCGGGATGTACTGGTACGCTATATCCAGCGTAATCCTGCCGTAATCCCTTAAAGCCAATAGCCTCGCGTGGCTATATGTAGGGTGATTCTATTTTCTAGAAGGGTCTATTCCTTTGGGATAAGATAAACCTGGTTACCTGATGTACTTTGGAAGTATAAAAGCGTCTTGTACTGATCGATAGTGCAGCCTTTCCTCGACTCATTCGATCCTGTGACACTTGGTAATCAGAGCTTTTCTCACTCGGCCGCGCTCAACAAAGCAGCAGCAGCGGGAAAACTTGCTTCGAAAAACCGCCGGGGGCGACAAATTCGACGCCGATTCCGGTAAGCACCAGCTCCGCGTTTTGTGAATTACCCCCCCCCCCCCCCCCCCCCCCCCCCCCCCCGCGCGTGTTTTGAACAGGATGGCGACCTTCGACAATGCCAAGGTTACCCAGCAGCTCTTCGCGAGAATCGCAACCTTTCAGGAGGAGATGCGAGCGGACCGCAAAGCGTGGCGAAACGAGTTCGAGCGAGTACCTCGACTCGCCGGAGCGCAACACGAAACAACAACGATGATGACACAGCAGGCGCAGCAGTTTCTCGAGGCTCCGAAACTGCGCCCACTTGGGCCGTTTGATCCGAGAGATCGAAACTCCGACGCCCGCAGATGGATCGCCGGGATGGAGATCTACTTCGCAGCCGTCGGATGGAGCTCGCCAGTCTGGGACAGTCAACGCGTACGAATCGCGGCGACACTGATGCGAGGACCGGCACTCGAGTGGATCGGCGGTAACAGCACGTTCATCCATGGCGAAGCCACGTGGCAGCAGTTCCGCACCGACCTGCTGAAACGTTTCGAGCTGATAAATTCAGGTTTCCTTGCCCGGGAAAAGATTCATTGCCATCGACAGTTCGGGAGTGTAGCACAGTACACACAGCAGATGGAAGAATTTTATGACCGTATTCCCGATCTGACCGAATGGGAAAAAGTACAGTCGTACCTCGCCGGGCTGAAGACCGAAGTCAGATGACAGGTGGCAGCGACAAACTACGCGAGCTACAGTGACGTCGTATCGGCCGCGGAACGCTTCGACATGGTCAACGCCGGGACACGACGGGCGTACGTCGGCAGTACGTGATAGGGCGACCGCTCGGCTCACCCCACGTTCACCGACCCAATGGAAGTCGACAGGTCTGAAGGGCGGCCACGTCCGAAAAAAACCAACTACACATGTGATTTTTGCGGGGTGCCGGGTCATCGAATCTTCGACTGCAACAAAATGAAAGCTGCACGCGCTGAGTATCGGGCACGCAACAGTGCCGGAAATCCTTCGGCCAATCAGAAGCAAAAAAACGGGACTCGCCAATGATTGCAGATCTAGATGGCGAAAAAAGAAAAGATCCGAAAGCGGCTACGGACTTCCGGAAAAATCAACTTCGACAAAGCTGATTCGACGCGAACAGGAGAAAATGATAGGGAAAAATCTCCACCCCACGACCAGTCTTTGCCAGAGGAATTCGCCGACGAAAAATCTAACTCCGCGAAAAACGACTCTGCCGAGACGGGGAAACTCCTTGAAGACCCAAGAAATTATAAGGATTCGTTAAAGTTATCTTACAAAGATGCTTTAATGATAACATGTAATTCTCGAGGAGCTAGAGCCTTTGAGAAATTATGGGAGGGACTCTAGAAGAAGCAGCAAATTGTGGAGATCATACCAGTACCGGACAACTTGGGGACCAAATTAAGGAGTGTGGAAAGAAGCTGACCTTTCCACAGAGTCAACGTCCTCTCCTGACACCAGCCCACAGCGACTACCCGTTCCCCAGGGAAGACGTCGGTGGAGCTGAAGCAACTCAAAAGGAAGCTGGGGGTCTACAAAAAGCTGCAAAAACCCCGAACTCCTTCTTCGGATGCATCCAACTTGGCAACTTCGTCAACGACACGAACAGTCGTCACGGAAACTCCGGGCCCAGGAGAAGAGCCTCTCTCCAAGTAGCCTCGGCCAGCTGCCAGCTCAGGAGTAGGAAGCAACGAATATTGGGATGTACCCTATGACCCAATCAACGAAACCATCTTTGGGTACTCCGAGCAACGACTGCCCCTCGTGCTCGAGGTTATCTGCAAAGGACGACGCCTCCAAGCACCTGTGGACAGCGGAGCATCGCACACCGTCTGCAACAAGGCAGTAATCGACTGACTTCGGGAAGAGTACAAGCCATCAGCGTTTTTTGCAACGATGGTGGACGGCAGCAAGTTACCAGTATACGGCGAAGCAGTGCTACACCTACAAATTGGACCACTGCGCTGGAGACCTGCTCTCTCCATCACCAACATCAAAGGGCTTGACCTGATCTTCCGGCGAGACTTCCTAAAACGATTCAACCCCGAGATCAACTGGGTGAACCGCACCGCAAGCATCTACAACAAAGGAAGGAGAGTCCAGCTATCCAACTTGGACGATACAGGGGATATCCCAGTGGAGACACTCGCCAGATTCGAGAAGGACGTCAAGCGAACCAGCACCGGATTCCTAGAGATAGCAACAGAGGTGGAAACCGACGGAGAGAAGACCTCGGAACCTCCAGGAAAAATCAAGGAATTACTGATGGAGTTCCAAGACATCCTCCCTGACGATCGTCCGAACGAGCTACCGCCATACCGAACGCACCAACATGAGATCGTGGAGGAACCAGGTTCGAAGCCAACCTTCCGAGCACCATATCGACTCAGCCCCATAGAGCTAGCCAACATGAAGAAGCAGATCGAGTATCTCCTCGCCAAAGGACTCATCCGACCATCCACTTCACCATACGGCGCCCCAGTACTCTTCACACCGAAACCGGACGGAAGCCTGCGCATCGACTACCGAGCTCTCAACAAGCAGACCATCAAGAACAAGTACCCGATTCCACGAATCGATGATCTGCTCGACTAGCTTCGGAGAGCCACGGTATTTTCAAAATTCGATCTGTGGTCCGGATACTGGCAGATACTAATGGCGGACGATTCCGTTCACAAAACGGCCTTTCGAAATCGGTACGGATCGTACAAGTATCTGGTGATGCCGTTCGGACTCACCAACGCACCTGCAACATTCCAAGCAGAGATGAATCACATCCTAAACCCACTCTTGGACGAATGCGTGGTGGTGTACCTAGACGTCTACTCGCGCGACATGCAACAACACGTCGAGTCTTCGAGATTCTTCGACGAGAACGCTTCTACGTCAAACTATCCAAGAGCAACTTCGCCCTCGAGAAAGTCCAATTTCTCAGACATAACGTAAGTGCTCAAGGAGTTCACGTCGACCCCAAGAAAATCGAAGCCGTGCATACGTGGAAGACACCCGAGAATGTGAAGGATTTACAGCAGTTCCTTGGCTTCGCTAACTACTACAACAGGTTCGTGCCGCAATACGTGAAGATCGCCGCGCCACTCACGAATCTGCTAAAAAAGAACACGCCCTATAAATGGGAGCCGAAGCACCAGGAAGCCGTGGAGCAGCTGAAGCAAGCACTTACGTCCGCACCAGTACTCATCTTGCCAGACCCCGAACGCGACTACGTCATCGAAGCTGATGCCAGCGACCAGGCAGTGGGAGCAGTCTTAATGCAAGACCAGGGGAATGGACTGCAACCAATCGCCTATCTCAGCAAGAAACTACACGGGGCAGAACTCAACTACCCGATACACGACAAGGAGGCCCTGGCTATCATCATCGCCTTCAAAACGTGGAGATGCTATCTCGAAGGACGCAAGACGACATTCGTCACCGACCATTGCAGCCTAAAATATTTGAAGACACAACCAAGCCTCTCCAGGCGACAGGTTCGGTGGATTGACTTCCTCGAGATGCACTTCCACTACGACATCATGTACAAGCCCGGCCATAAAACCAAAGCCGATGCGCTTAGCTGGCCTGCACACGTTGCTGCTATCCAAGTTGAAGGGATGAATCCACTTCTCAAGGGACTCTTCACACACGGGTACACCATCGACCCCAAAATTCCCTTGGCAGAAAAGCGACATCTGCTATAGTGGGACAATGACATCGCTACCGGAAAGGATCAACGAAGATCTGGGTACCTAATTACCCTCCATTGCGCCAGTTACTACTCGAAGAATACCACGACGTCCTGTATGCGGGACACTTCGGTAGTAACAAGACGCTCACCGGTATCACCAAGCACTACTACTGGCCCCACATAGCAGATGACATACAGAAATTCGTCACCTCGTGCACTACATGTCAGCGGATGAAGAGCAGCAAACAGAAAAAGGCGAGTCTACTGCAGCCTCTTCCTGTCCCAGAACAGCCATGGCAAGTGGTCAGCCTAGACTTCATCACCGGGCTACCAACTACCACCAGCGGTCATGACGCGATCCTCGTCATTATTGACAAGTTCTCCAAAATGGGACACTTCATCCCGACATACACGACAGCATGCACTGAGGAGACGGCACAACTCTTTGTTCGCTACATCATCTCACAACATGGCATTCCAACCACACTCATCTCCGACCGAGACCCTAAGTTCACCAGTAAATTTTGGAAAGAACTGATGTCTCTTCTCGGGACCAAACTCGCCATGTCGTCCGCCTACCATCCGCAGACAGATGGCCAGACCGAGCGCCTCAACCAAATTGTGGAACAACTCCTCCGCACAGCCTGCAAGGACGAAATCTCCAAATGGGACTTGCATCTGCTCGTCCTTGAGTTTGCCTACAACAATGCTACTCACGCCGCTACTGGACAGACGCCGTTCTTCCTCTGTTACGGACGCCACCCACTCACACCTCAACAGCCAAACATACCAGCCACAGTCCAACCTGCTCATGATTTCATCACGACTATGCACAAACTTTGGGATCGGACCCACAAGCACCTTCTCAACATTCAGCAACAACAGAAGCGCCACGCCGATCGCCACCGGACAAACCACACCATCACCGTGGGAGATCGAGTACTACTCGACACGCGCAATCTTGACATCAGCCATCTCCCATCCAAACTGCGACCTCGCTTCTGCGGGTCTTTTCTCGTTGAAGCACAGGTCACTCCTGTTACCTTCCGCTTACGCCTGCCAGCTACCTGGAAGATTCACAACGCCTTCCATGTCCAACACTTGAAGCCCTACCGAGATCCCAACGCGATCTTTTATGGACGCCAACCGCCGCCGCCGCCGTTCGTCCTCGTCCATGATGAACCCGAGTACGAGGTCGAGTCCGTGCTTGCTCACCGCCGTCGCCGGAATGGCACCGTGGAGCTTCTCATCCGTTAGAAGGGTTATGATCCTTTAGAGGATATCTGAGTCTCTGAATCCGAGATGGACCATGCTCGTCGTCCTCTTCGCGACTACCTTGTCAAGCAGGGTGTTACGTCTACCACCCAGCTTTGAGGGGGGAAGTGTGAGAGTACGATCCCGTTCCATTCCTTTCTCCTTTCCATCTTCCCTTTCCATTCCATTCCTCTTTTTATCCTAATCCATTTGGTTTTTCTCTCATTCCATTTGGATTCCTACTTCTCCTTTTCCATAAACCTTTGGTTTCTCCTGTTATTATCATTATATCACCGACCAGGCTCGGGATGTACTGGTATGCTATATCTAGTGTAATCCTGCCATAATCCCTTAAAGCCAATAGCCTCGCGTGGCTATACGCAGGGTGATTCTATTTTCTAGAAGGGTCTATTCCCTTGGGATAAGATAAACATGGTTACCTGATGTACTTTGGAAGTATAAAAGCGCCTTGTACTGATCGATAGTGCAACCTTTCCTCGAGTCATTCGATCCTGTGACAGTAGGGGAGGGTGACAAACCTCTTGATTTCTCTTTCGGCGAGGTAGTCTCTGAATCGTTGTGACTCGTATTCCGTCGCCCCGTCTGACTGAAAACATTTCAATTTCGTGTCTCCATCCCGTTCTGCTGCAGCAGGCCATGCGACGAAGGAAGAAAAGGCGAGGTCCCAGGACGGTAGGTTAAGATGCCAGGTGTACCGTATGGCGTCATTGATGAAGGTGATGATGTAGTTGAGGTCGGCTCGGCCGACTTCTCGCGGGATGTATAGTATATTGCTGAATATTTTTTCGAGAGGAGCGTACTCCGGGGCACTTGGTTTGTCGTGCGTCAGGAATGGTTGACGAGGAAGATCTGCTTCGGGGCACATAAAGTAGGTGTGTCGAGGCCGTCGGAGTTTACGGCCATCGAGGAGTAGGAGAGTGTCCTTGTCCAGGACGTTTGCTCGAATTGTGTCGAACAAGGGTGAGTTACCGGGATGTTCTAACCTCTGATACCAGATGTCCTCGCTCGCCTTGTGTCTGACATATCGACGGTACGAGTCTGAGTTGGCGTAGAAGGCGGAAACGGTCGCGGCGCTTTGATGCTGCTCGCGAGGATGCGCCTTCAGCTGCTCGGCATCGGTCAGCAGCGACTCAACAACGGGTGGTGTTTCAGGCGCAGCTTCTTCGACGGGTGGCGCCGACGAAGTTCCAGCGATGGGACTTGCAATAGTTCTCGTGTTGGTGCTTGTTGTTCTGCTGCGTGCAATGGTGCTGATTCTTGTTCCTCTGCTTCACGCATCACTGCTTATGCTCGTGTGCTTTCTAAATCATGGATCGTGCTGGAGTACCAGAAGCCGTCGCGGTTAAATTCGGGATCAAGATCCGGTGGGTGCGTCCACGACGTGAAGGAGACGACGCCATAGCTGTCAGCAGTCCCACGGTCTTGAACGAAGTCCAAGATGAAGAACCCTTCCTTCTGGATGGCTCTGCCGATGAAGAGACCACCCTTCCCATGGTAGAGACGGAACTCCCGATCAAAGTTGTCACACTCCACGTGAATACCCTTTGACATTAGCTGGCTGATGCTTAGTAGATTGTAGTCGAGGTTGTCGACGACGAGTATCTGTGACATCTGTAGTATGACGTTTGTCTCACTGGATTGGTATGAACGACTCCTTCCTTTTCGTGTGCGCATGTTCTAGTTGTTGGCGACGATGATAACGACTTCTCGGCTAAGAGTCTTCTCTCGCTGGATGAAACACGTTGAAGAACACATGTGTTGACCATTGCAGCTCTCAAGAAACCAAGTGTCATGGCTGGACGGTTCTCCGCGAGCTATTGCAACGGAAGTCGAGTTCGGTTGGATCCGGGTCAGTGTCAGAGCAGGGGGTTCTTTGTCGAGATCAATGTGAGGAGGGGAGTCGAGTATGCAAAAATCTGTTCGTGCCATGCAGTGTACGATGTTCCTTGCATCTTGTGCAGACTGGTTTGTCGGAGCTGATGGGCACTGCTGAGTTGGAGGGACCGTACTCGGTGACGGACGTGGCACTCGAGGTTGATACTGCAGGAAATGCGGCTGCCACTGCTGCTGCTACCTTGGGCAGTTGAAGCGTGAGTGTCCCGTCGTGCGGCAATGAAGATAGTACAGAGGTGAGTGTCGTTTCTGATGTAGAGTGTTGTGGTTGCGCCCGTGCGTGTAGAACGCAAATTGCCGACACTGTTTCTTTGCGCGGCATTCTTCGTACAGGTCCATGTCTGGCTCCTCGGCGTGGAGCTCCGTGCATAAGTGCATCTTGGAGATCCTCCCGTGACTGCGTAGAAGGGAGCGCGTCGTACGCCACTAAGGACCGAGGCCAGCAAGGACGATAGTGATGAACGAATCCTCCGAAAAGTGTCCTCCGCTTTGTAGGAGCTTGTCCCGTAAGCCTCTCCAGCGATTGATGTATGGCATCGCTTTTTCTCCTGGTTGCATCTGGATCGTTGTGAGTTGTGCCATTAGTCGGCTTTGAGTCACGCTGTTGGTTGCTTGGTAAACGCTATTCAAGTGACAGTATGCGAGCCCGGCTGAATTGCCGAAGTTGCGATACGTGTGGATGCCTTGTTGCTCTGTTGATGTCAGGTTGCGTAAGAGGATGGTGAAGGCCATCAGTGACTGATAAGTGTAAATCTTCTTCTCTTGAGTAGTCCTATTTACAGGGAAAGGCCAGGAGCCGGTGAAGAAGCCAAGGATTTGAGCGCCGTCCATCCGCAACTCAAACTCGAAGCTCCAGGCGAAGAAGTCCTTGCCGTTGAATGGTGAGAATGTTTGCAGTTTTAGAATGTTGTTGAAGTGTTGTTGTACGGTGACGATGTCAGGCTGTTTGTCAGCTGTATTCGAATCCACTGCTGGTGCGGGAGTTGGCAGGAAGGTAAACGAGCCTGTCGAGGGCTGGTATGGTTGGTGCTGTGTAGGTTGTGCGCCTCTTACGTACGATGTGCCATGAAGGCTCATAGGAATTGCTCCACTGTTGTTGTTGCTGTGTGCCGATTGAGCAGGTGCCAAAGACTGTTTGTAGGTCGACATGAAGGAGAAGAACTTCTCCATGAGGTTCAGGTCCAAGCCGGAGGAGGAGGCCACTAGATGTGTGGAGGCTCCTGCAGCTGCGACTGCCTCCGTCTGTAGTATAGAGACTGGAGGTGCAGAGGGGGATCCAGTAGACGATCCATCGCCCTTAGATGGCGCCATGTCTTGTATCCTTGATTGATGAAACTGAAGTTGTCGTAAGTGATTCTATAAAGTTAGAAACTCCGAGGGAGTTCGAAACTGGAGCGTAGCTTCAGACTAGCTCTGATACCATGTTGGGCTGAGAATAGCCCTACGATCTTTTCAGAAGGCTAAGTCCTTGTAACAGAGTGCTTGATACCACAGTGGAACTCTTGATTTGAACCCTTGCACTGGTATGTGAGAACAAGTGATTGATTATAGCAAAGGGATACAAGGTTTATATAATAATACAAGAGAATATGAAGAGTCTAACTGTTTGTGAACTTCAAGGGATATATTCCCTTTTTTATAAATCGATAAGGCGAGTCGGGTAACCACCCATACTGTAATATCGTGATGGTTATTTGTCCTTACTATCACGCTAACTCTTGACTTTTGTGATTCTGACTGTTGGGTTGCACGGTCAACGGTCTGCGACCGTTGCCCTTTCGTAACCTCTGCGGGGTGTTGTCAACATGTGTCAACCATCGGTGGTACTGTAGCAGTGTTGACTCGGTGATCCCCGTTGTCGCAGTCTTTATGTATTCGTACACTCACGTGAGAATTTGGAAATGCCTTAAGATCTTTTATCATTTCCAACACCCTCCTTCATTTCTGGAGTGTCGATGTGGTCGAGGTTGCTGACATGTTGCAGTCTAATCAGCAGCATGCAGTACTGGAACTTCGACTTCATCAGCTTCTTGGTCAAGTAGTCGGCTGCCATTTCGGTGGTGTGGCAGGTACCAATTGGAGACGTCCCTGTTTGATCTCGTCCTTCACAAAAAAAAAAAGTAGCAAAGCGAGATGTGATTCGTCCTATTCGCATATCTGTTTTTTTCGGCGATTCAAATTGCTGATAGGTTGTCACAGAAGAGGGAGAAGCTTGGTAGCTCGGCAATCTTCGCTTCTTCGAGCAGCTCGCGTAGCTACAGTCCTTCCTTTGTGGCTGTGCAGAGGGCAATATGTACAGCGTCAGCAGATGAGAGAGCGATTAGTTCCTGTTTTCCCGAGTGCCAGGAGATAGTGCCGATAGGCTCCAGACGGTAGTTGTAGCCGGTGCGGGAGCGTCTGTTATCCTTATCGTCGGCATGATCGGCGTCGACGTAGCCGATGAGTTCCGTCTTGGTAGTAGCGTTTTTGTGGTAGGTCAAGCCAATTGTCAGGGTCGAGATGAAGTAGTGAAGTGCATGATTGAGTTCCTGTAGATTCCCCCCTTCAGGTCGCTTAAGGTAGGTAGCGAGCTGGCTAGTCGCATAGGAGAGATCAGGACGACATGTGACGGCGGCGAATAGCAGACAGCCCAGCTTCTGCTGATAATCCTGGATCTTGGCTGGTGCAAGTAGCGAGGCGGTCGATGCGGGAACCGGCAGCGGGTAGGCGTACGGAGTATTGAGAGGCAGCGGGGAGAGATCGAACTGCCGAGCAATGTTCTCGGCGTACTTCGATGCCGGGAGGTGGATGGTGTCCGGGCTGTCTGTAATGTTGAGGCCGAGGTAGTGCGTCATGTTCGACGACACGGTGATGGTTAGCTGAGGCTCCAGCTCCCCTTCGAACCAGACGGTGATGGAAGCGATGGAGCTGACATAGAGCAGGTCATCTACGTAGACTATCAGCAGGACGTAGTCGCCGCTCCGGGATAGCCTGTACATGCCCTGGTCGTGGGGAAGTTGGGCGAAGCCCATGGTGGTTAGGAACCTGTGCTGGTTTTGCTGCCACAGCCGCGGGGCCTGCTTGATCCCATAGAGGGTTCTTGACAAGCTAGCACACCAACATGGGATTG